CTTTAAGAAAAGGCATTTCTCCCTCATTGGTGGTGGAAAGAAAAATAGATGTGTTTAAATAGGGAAACACTCTTATTAGTTGTTAAAAGGGTTGGAAAGAGGGACCCCCCCCCCCTCGCGCCGTCGTCGTCGCTCGCTCGGCTCGGCTTCGAATTTGGCTTTGGCTTTAGAAAATGATCGATCGACAGATTATTTTTTGGACAAAGTTTTTGTTTTAATTATTTAATTAATTAAATTAAATTAAATTATTTCCCGTTTTATTTTGAATTTCCTGCCGTTGGAAATGATTGTTCTGAAAGTTTGCAACTTTCAGGAACAACCATGACCGTTTGAAAGATTGCAAACTTTCATGAATGGTTGTGTGGATTCTGAAAGGTTGCAGCCTTTCAGAACCAGTTCCTCTAGGCTATAAATACCCGTAATTCTTCAGACTTTTTACTTACGAAAATTTATGATTTCTTCTTCTTCTTCTGCACAAATATTTTTCGTGTACTTTACTACCGTTGAGTGGCTCGCTGACACCAGAGTTTCGGGTATCAATACACTGGTGATTGAGATCATTCTATCTTGGGAGGACATATTCCAAATCAAACCTCGGATACTAGAGGAGAATAATCTCCTTAAGGGGATACTGTGCATTCAGTGGGCTTGATCTTCTTCCTGTTCTGTCTTTTATAGATTCTGGTATGTTTTTACAGATTTTAGTTTTGTGAATTAAATTATGTTCTTCTGTTCTTCACTGGTTAATTAAACTTTGGTAACTTCGTGTTTCTGCAAAGTTTGTTGTAATCAGTAGTACTGTTTTTAAACACAGATTGGGCAACAACTCAAAGTTGGAGGGCATAGTTGTCCGTTGAAGCCAAGTTAAGGGTCATGTTCATGTATTATGCCTAAAAAAAAATTATATGATGAGCTTCGAGAAAACATAAAAATTAAGTATGTGTGATCATTATCAGGAAAAGAATAGATTTGCGACATGATCAACTACAACAATTCTTTCTTTCACATGAAGGTTTTACTTGTTGCCTGTGGCTCAAAACTTCAACACATCCGCATGTAGTTTGTCATTTTGGTCTAATATCGAGACCCTTTGAGCTTTCTCTTGAAAAAAAAAAAAAGAAGAGATTTGTGAGACGTGATAGCTAAATGCGAGACTCAGACATCAACAGAATAAAATTATACAAATAAAATTATATTTTGAATTTAATTTTCTCATATGTTTTGGTTGTGGAAGTGTACTTTACAACGCTACAAACAATTGAATATTTCCATGTGACTGCGCTAAGCTGGAAAGAATGCATAACAAACGTCTAGTTCATCTTCAAGGAATTATATGTACTAATTCAGAAAGCCTTTGGCCGTGATTTTTGTTAAAATTGTAATTCTTGGAGTCCTCTTTTCAATGAAATAAGAATCTTGTGATTTCGTTGCTCCTATTCCAAGTTATGAATTTTTTTTCACAGACGCAAAAGAACTTAGCAAGGCAGAATTGTGGGTTAACTTTGAAGCAATTTCCTGTACAAATTTATAAAGTTTTTGGCCATGATTTTTACGCATATTGTAGTTCTTTGTGTCGTCTTCTCAATGGAGAAAGAAACTCATGATTTCGGCACTCCTACTTCGAGTTATGAATTTTCTACCACAGACATGCGAAGTTGAAGAGCGAGTAAAACAGAATTATAAGCTGACTTCGAAGCAATATTTGTATCAATTCATAGAGCATTTGGCCGTGATTTTTATACATGGTAGTTCTTTGAGTTTTCATTCCAATAGATTAAGAATCTCATGATTTCGGCATTCCTACAACTTTGGGGACTTGTGTGACACTCGTGAGTGTTGGTGTTCAAATTTGCATTCAAGTCTATTGTGGAAGTTTCTTGAAACTTAAAATTCATACAAGTTTGCCACATTGATTTTGCTTATCTCTCCCTCGAGAGTCATCCATATTATCCCTCGGTTGGATTGAAATAACAAAATCCTTATGAGCATATTGAATGGAGTTGCAGATGATCTTAGCATACAATTTGTCTCATCACAAGAAATGGAGTCAAGAAAATGTCTTAAGAGTGATATTATCGGATTCATAATACTTCAAGTCTCGCCATCAAGTGTCGGCAAGCCTACACTTTAACAAGCCTTGGAGTAGGGGTATTTGTAGACACACAAATTTTATTGGATTAAATTCATAAGAAATTTGAATTAAATCCATGTTCATTTGGGTTGAAGCTCAAATTCATGTCACGTGTCACGGTGACTAGGCATCCAAGACCAACAAGATGACGCCACACGTCCAAATGATGTGGTAGTCCCAGTCAAATTCAAGAACCAATCACAATCCACCAAGTGTCAAAATGACATCTTTTGACCAATCATAAGCAATCCAACCCCTACAACTATAAATAGGGGATAAACATGACATTCAGAAGGGGGACTGCGAAGGAGATTCTGAATACAATTAAGAAAAGACTTCAACAAACATTCTGCAAGGATTGGAGAAAGCGACAACATCAACTACACAATTCTTCAAATGAGTGGTCAACGGTGTCCTTCTCGGAGATGGACTTGAAATGACGAACTGCTTTCGACATTCTCGAAGATCAAATACATCTCAAAGAGGTCTACATCATCCTACATTCGAGAAATACGCTACTGGATGCCCTCGAATCATGGAAAAGTTTATGAAAGAAGAATCAAGAGAACTATAACATTGTACTGGCAAAATTCATCAATAAAAATCACATTTTCTTTTATTATTTTGATTGCAGTTAATTTTCAGCACAACAAAAATTTGTTACGATCAACAACGAAATCATCGAGCTCCATCTCCATTCTTTAGATATTTTTATTGTCTTAAAAATGATATTAAGCAACTCAATAAGTCACTCCAAACCTACTTTGCCTGTGCTTTTAAAAATTATATGAAATTATCATCCATCCCAAATGCTTAAGAATAACATTAAACAACCCAGTAAGTCACTCCAAAAGCAACTAGTCTTTGTCGCCACACTTTTGAAGTGTGGCAATATTCTATAAAATATTTACACACCACAATTTCTAATTGAAAAATTACAATTTTGTTGTGTACATTCACTGATTACATTATACATTATTATGCTACTAATAAATAGTTCAAATGTATAGATTTGTAATAAACTTTAAAAAAACATGTAGTGTATTATACATACTTATAAAACAATATTTCAATATATGCACTAGCAATGAATTCCACTAAATCAAATGTATTCAAATATCATAATTGCTCAAAAACTCTTTTCATTTATTAAAATATTCAAGATAGTAAATGAAAATTGTTCAATAAAAAATAATACAGTTTCTTATATACTTTCTAATTGACCTCTAAAAAATAAAATTTTAGCTTTTAATTAATACAACTTAATGAGAAAATCAATTTATTTTTATGAGTTTTATTTTTAGTATCAAACCTAATTAAAAAAGAATAATATTTTTTTAAAAAAATATGCAGGGCGAATCTATGTGGGGTGGAGTGGGGCGGATTAAAAATGAAAAAAATTGGTATGTGGTGCGGAGGGGGTCGGGTTAAAAATTTTACGGGTTAAGCTGAACCCCCCCCCCCCCCCCATGCCCCATTACCATCTCTATATACATCCACCATTCAACTTGGATCACCTGCATTTTCCTACACATCCAAAATGAAAAATAAAATTAGAAAGAAATCGCGCTCAACAAATTCTAGTAGAATAACATCTTGGACATAAAAACTAATAGTGTCTCTTGTAATACTTCTAGCCATGAGCTATTAATGCTATAGCATATGTGCTTGGTCTATTACATGTGGCTATTATTAAAATCGAAAGCACATTTCATGACACTTCAACTTTCATTGTGATCATTTTAACACTTGAACTTGATAGTTGAGGCCAAGTTAAGGTATTTATTCACATGTATTATGCCACAAAAAAAATATTACAACTATATAGAGAATGACAACACCTAAATCATCCTTTCAAAACATTCACCATTTTCTTCTCGCTTTTCAGAAATTAATAGAAAAGCATTTCAAAATAGCTCCAACATATTTAATGGTGATTTTCTCATTCTATGATTACCATATAAAAGTGATGTTTTGTTTCCATCTTAAAACAGTTTTAGAGTACTTGTTTAATTTTACATCATAGCGAAAAGAACATAAAACTGATGAGAAATGCAGAATATTGATATAAGGTGCTTGAATCTAAAAATCCTGTCTGAACTAATTCAAGGTTCTGTGCCAATTTACGATTGTGAATTAGCACTAGTTGCCGAATCAATTGTGCACATGTTTAGATTCATTCTAAGATATAACAGGGTAAAAGAGTGACTCCATCATCCATAAGGTTTCGAACTGCGCACCAACGGCCCTCGGGGATTTCTCAGTTATAAGAGAAAAAGATAAAACAGTTCAGATTCTTTATGATAACAACAGAGAAATATGTTGTCTTACCACTTCGAAACCAGCGAATAAATACCCAACTAAACTTCAAGATAATAAAGTAAATACACATTCGCATGCAACAAAATGCCAGAGATTTGATGATCTTAAAAGATTTACAAGTAGGTACGTAGATGATATGTTCTTAATTTCCACTCAGCCAAAAAGTTCTCTTCCATGAAAAGCATACCATATTAGGTGGAACAAGTCTCTAACTGGTATCTTAAGGCTATGCTATTATGTTACAGTTCTTATTATTCGTGTCTAATTATCTATTGAGGATAGCAGCTAATTAAATAGCTCTTGTTAGTGTAAGTGTAAGTGTCTTCAATATCAGTACTTGATACCTCGATTATTTCTGGGATATAAAGAGAAGCTCTGTAACAGTGTAGAAAAACGAAAAACAATTTAAGAAGAACTAGGACTGGTTAGTGCTATGAGATTACCTTACTCTAGTACTCTACTAATAATCTATAGACAACTTTATTTTTTTAGTTTTTAGTCAATAGTTGCTAATTCATTACTAATCAAAGAGGCAATTACAATGCGTTCAGATAAAATGTACTGTTGTTATCTTAATAGTTGTCAAATGAAGAGCCAACAACACTCTTGCAGCCTCTTTCAGATTGAAAATTTCAGCATTTAACTTTCTTGTGAATATGAAATATAAAAACACTTTTGAAGGAGTAAGAGATACCTCTAGAAAGGGTTGCTTCGTCATCAAGACACTAGCTTTTTCGCTCACCAAAACCATGAGCTTTAAGTTTTCAGCAACCTTTAGGGCACCTCTAAGCTTATGGACAACAAGTGTATCCAGAGCTTGTTGCTCAATTCTTTGGCTTAAAATTCGATAACCATTTCTGATAGCATCTTCCAGGATATTGACACGATCTCTTGAATGTGTTGTCTTTTCATCAACTAGCTGTAACTGCATTTCAAACTGCCTAACATCAGCAATAGGTACACTATGCATTCAAAGAGACATAAGAACATCTTAAGCAAACTAAAACTAGAAAGAAGACAACCTTACAGTTCTCATACTCAACAACCAATTTCTCACTATCAGAAACAAAGTAAGGAGAGGTATAACCACAGTCAAATTGCATTCCTTCAACCACACGGAGATTGTTTTCAACACCTTTTCCCTCTTCTAGTGTCACAACACCTTTCCTTTCAACCTTGTTCATGGCTTCAACAATCATACTCCTTACTCCATAATGGTTCCTAGTACTTGCTGCAATCACATTTGCTAGTTCAGTTTTCCACCTGAATGATGTTCTCGATCTTATTTTATAGTTCATATGCTTACAATCTTCTGTACATCTCATCTACCAAAAATAACAAATTGATACACAACTCATTACCTAACAACACAAAACTAAAATATTCATAAACACCTCTTTTGGTCTAGTGATCAAGACAGGGGTTTGCACCAGCTGCTTACAGTCTTAGTTGGTAAAAAAAAATCTAGTAAATTAGCATGTTCATAAATTTCAGCAATATAGTTTAGTACCAATGTTTTCTATTGGATCTTCTAATTTTGGAGCGCATCTGCAGTATTCACTAGGATATGTTGGTTTTAATTTTGTTTACTAATCATATGATGATCTTTTGTTTAAGGATATTGAGTTTTTGACTTCAGAGGGGAGATTCTGGAGAATGCAAATCGATTCCTTGTTCTAGTACTCTCAAAAATTTCATTTGCTTCTAATAGTTGAGTACATATCTCGTCTCTAGGGATAGTTTATGTAAATTTCTAGGACAAATTAACGCATAGTTCTCAAATTCTACTAGAACAAACATTTGTTTTTGACGGGTTAAGGAATTTGAAGCTGTGATTTTTTAGTTGACAGGGTGAGCCCTAAATGTATATCTTACTCCTTTCAAAAATCATGTTTCGGACACATCCCAACCCGGACAAAATTTGCCTCTTGGTGCTTGGTGTGGAGGATAATTGCCTTAGGCAGGAGGTAGATATTGTGGGCTGTGAGAAGTCATTGTCCTCTATGATTGTAATCATAACCTGGAAAGTACCCAGGATGACCAACCTGAGGTCCCCATTGTGGGGGAGAACCTCTGCCACGTGGGCAAAATGGTTGCTGACCATAACTCAAAGAGAGAGTTGATGGCCTTACAGGCTATCACACACCATTGTGAAAGAAAGACAACTTGAGAAGTTAGCCACGCAATTGCAAACATAAACAAAAAATATAAGAATAAAAATAAGACAAGCTCAGGCATAGCTGTCAGGAAATGAAGCAAATGAAACTTGGGAAGCTTGAACTGTAGCAGGGAAACAACTACAAGAAAACATTCATACACAGATCAAACTTGCATTGAGTTATAATAGAACATATTAAAGAAAAAAGACAGCAAAGGTGTTGATGAAAATGAAAGAATAAAAGTAACATTAGCAATCTATGATGCATTATGAAAAAAATCAAAGGCAACTGTTTATACAAAGCACTGTTACCTAAAACACCAAAATAATAAGATGAATCACCCATAAATCTAGGAAGAAAGCACAAAAGGAAATAAATTAATGTTCCCTGATACTATTTCAGATATACTAAACAAACCATACTCTAAATTTTAGTACATAACATATCAAGTATCTTAAGAAATGACATCCATGGTATCCAAGAGACAGAACTATCAATCTCCAGTCTTGAGTAAAAGAGCCTCTTTTATTGCATTCACTTAGGTAATACTGTGATAGTCATCCTACTTCCAAAACCACGTGTTAATGCAAGTCAACAAGCCAACTATTGAATTCTCCAATGTTAGATAATAAGATAACAGATTTCATCATGGATATAGTACGCTCAATAAAGATGATTTAACGAGCATTCTGCAACATAAGGTCTTGCACAGAGCATAGGGTATCCAGAGAATACTCTTTTAATATAAGCCTTACTATTATTATCATTTTTAGTTTTTAAGTCTTGGAAGCAATTTTAGCAACTATTAACCTATGCAATGTAGAGGGTTAATGCTTGATACCTCTCTTTGGTTGTCAAGAATGAATAGTAGTTGTCTATGGCTTCGCATGTTGAGATGTCAAAGACAAAATTGAATTCTGAATTTTTAAAGCCAACCAATTCGAAATTGGCACCTTTTGAAAAATATAAATCATGGTAACTGACACCCCAACACAACATTCTCTTTAACTGTGCTCAATTGAACTATTCACACAAACATTAGTGGATAGGGCCCGACTCCAAAGTGTTCTACCGAACCTGCAACCTATTGTTGGGTCCACTACTAACTATTTTTAGAGTTAATCAATTTCTATAACTGAGCAAATGGCAATGAAATTTTCTTCCCCTCTTAATTAATTTACACCAAAGGCTTCTTTGTTTTTATTGCATTATTCAATAATAGTCCATACTGTCTGGAGTTCCTTTGTTGTTTATTCTTTACTTTGTCCATCCAGACACATGAATGAAAATTGAATATGGTAGCAGAATCTCAAAACGCTTACAAGTCAATATCAGACCACAAAACTCAAAAGTTAATATAGATATAATCATGTAGTACACAACTGCTCGACTGCAAAAACTCATACTCACTTTCTATATGACACTCATTTGTCTTATCAACGACCACAAAGTTTAAGATATTAATTTAAACTGATGGAATACCTTTAAGAGACGATAACGCTCACAAAGAAGATAAAGCAGACACACAATTCATGTGTTGGGAACTATCCCCCCATGGTTTAAGAATTTAAAAAGAATCAAACACCTAAACAAATAAAATTTCAGTTAAAAATGTAAAAGCATCATAAAAATTTACCAAAGCATCAAACCAAACCTCATGAACAATCCTTGTTGGGTTATGCTTCAAATGCACAGAGAATACACGCTTGTTGCAATGCTGTCCAACAGGACCTGAAGCTTTGAGAGTACTCATTTAACACCGCATCATCAACTCCTCATCCGACATTAACAAGTACTCTTTTCCATCAGGACCCCGTATATCTAGGTCAAAGATTTATGTTACCTAGTATAGGTAACAGACCATCGTCATTGCGATTATCACCCCTAATCAGAAAGAGTTTTTGTTTGCTCGGGTTTTCCAGTTGATCATAGATATAACCCATTCCACCATTGGACTCTTCATAGTTCAGAGTACATATATCTACAACTGATTTCAGAGTTCAAAAATTGTAAGGAAATGAAGAAATTTCTACCTTTAAACTTGTAAAGAAGTGAAAAAACAACCTGATTCCAGAGAGGTACAGTGCAAGGGAGAACATTGTAGTGATTTCTTCGGAGGTATCCTTTAAATGCTTTTGGGCAAAAAAATCCTTTCTATCATCTCTCTGATTTGGGCAAAAAATCAGCAAATGACTTCTTATTTTTGTGTTTTAGAAATTGTATGAAAATAGGCGTACTGACTTTTGAGTTTTGCTTTTTAGAAATTGGGGGGAAATTTAGATACATGGAGGAAATATTATTATTTCAGTGAAATTTATGAGAATTTAAGGGCACGCTTCTTAGGTGTTGCATTTAGAATTATAAAAATAGCACACTTTAAAAGTGTAGCCATATTGTATCATTACGTGTTGTCAGATATATTACGATTTGGCAATACTTATAGAGTATAGCCTATACTACTAAAGAGCACGCTTTATAAATGTTCAATGTTTTGTGGCCAAAAGCTCTGTCCAAAGGCCACGCCTTGAAAGGGTTCCCACATATACTTTTGGCAACACTTCTCAAGCATTGTATAGAATTGATGTGGCCTCAGGCCAAATTTGTTGTAGCACCAGAATCTTTTCATCCTTGTCCTTGATGATTTCACTTGATCCAGGTCACAAACCCTCATTATCCTTGCCCTTGCTAGCCTTTAACTTCTTATCCCTGTCTTTGTCCCCTAATTCACCATGCAAGCGTTCAAAAGCCACTGTCTTTGCCGTCGTAACCACTAACTCAGTGGTGATAATCTGACCAGGAAACAAACTCTACAGTCGGATTAAAACAAAAATTTAAAGAGGACTGCAGTTAACTAAATTGAAGAAGGTTTACTGCTATCAATAAAGAAGCATGGCATAATTTTCATGACACTTCTACATACTTACTAGGAGGTTAATCATTCAGCAGAACTCTGGCATAATCCTTCTTCTGGAATCACGACCATGTCCATGCTCAAGTAAAGGGTATCATTTCTTCAAGTTTCAAAATCTATCTATTTCAAGCACTCAACCAATGATCTCATGAATCATCCACCATACCATAACACGATGGCCCAATACAGTTTCTTATAAAATTGAAAATTGAATCAAAAGTCACTTGTTACATCCGGAATTATTTATCCTTTTACCCTTCAGAGTGTAGTTGAGCATATTTAGTTGTATATCTTCTCTGAAAATGCACTGTAAAATAAAATACAGCCCCCATGACATGTTTGCCGACATTAATTATCCCACAAGTAAGTAAGACATTTGAGAGAATAAACATGAACATATGAATTACAAGAATGATTACTCTTAAGTGCTTGATCAGGAATGCATCTTCCACTAAAGTATGAATGAAGGCATTTGAGTGAAAATGCCATTGCACATATTTGAAATGTAGTGCATGTTCTGTAAGCTCTCTTATAGGATGACTGTAAGTGCTTGATCAGGAATGCATCTTCCACTGAAGTATGGATGAAGGCATTTGAGTGAAAATGGCATTGCACATATTTGAAATGTAGTACCTGTTCTGTAAGCTCTCTTATAGGATCTCCGTTTGTTATTTTTTATAAACAAAACACACTAAACTCCGATCAGAAGTATGTGCCTTCTTTTCAATCCTTACCTGACCCACTGCCCCTCATAAAATTCTGAATAATATTAAAGAAATTCAGGGAACTAACATTCCAAAAAGCAATACAGAACCCAAAGGGATTGAATATAGTACATATTTTCTGAAACGTCAGAAGTTGTTTGGTGTAAATGTTATTTATCAAGGTTTTACCAGAACCTTAAATACAATGAAACTTCAAATTATCTTACAACTTCAACAGAAGACATCATAAACAGTTTCCATTCCATGTTGCCAAACATAAACAGTTTATTCACTTCCTCTCTTAGCATAAAGTAGATAAAAGTAAAAAGAAGAAAATGTTTGACTTCCCTTTGTCAAGAAGCTCTAGGGTCCATTCCATGTTGCCAAACATAAACAAGTTCATCCCATCCTGTACTAGCCAATAGACCTTCAACGAGAACGCTCATATCAACTCCTACAGCAAACTCTGTGTGATGATCATACCTTCCAATAAGTGCATCTTCCACCATGTAATCCCACATGCAAACCGTCATGTCATATGAACAAGAAACCATTGCACTTGCTCTATGTGGTGAAAACCTCACTTTCCTCACTGCATATCCATGCCCATTAAGCACTGCTATTGGCACTCTATAATTCCTAACATCCCAAACCTTGATTGACTTATCAACGGACGCAGTTGCAATGATACAATCATCATACTTACTCCAATCACATGTGAGGATTTCAAACTCATGCGCAGGCAGAATCATGGTAGAACCTTCACAAATAATGAATTATATGAGTTCAAATGATAAATCATTAATCTCCTAGTAAGATTCTTAACAAATAACAAATTAATCAAAAACTTAGTCAAACCAGCTGAAATGAATCATTTTTCTTAGGTATGATAAACCAAATACATGTATCTAAGCTAAGCTAACCTGGTTCGCGGACATCCCAGATGCGAGTAGTACAATCCCCAGAAGCAGATGCAAAGATATCAGCATGTCTTGGATTCCAAGCAGCGGAATAGACACAATAAGCATGCTCCTTAAAAGTCCTTACACTAGCATTTCTATCAACAGTCCATAGCTTCACAGTATCATCCCAAGACGCTGATAAGAAGGAATCTTTTCTCACGGTATTATAGTCCACAGAGTGAACTTCCCGTGTATGTTCCTTAAAAGAACGAATAGGGTTATTGGTGGGAGGCAAAGAAAGGTCATAGAGTTTCACAGAACCATCGCCACTTGCAGCAATTACAAGGGAATCGTGAGCTTCCGACCAGCAAACATCGTAAACTCCATCAGCTGTGTCAAAAGCCGCAAGTTCCGATACGGGTCCGTTTGGATTGAGTTGAAGAATGTGAACTCTCCCGTTACCAAGGATGCCGAAATTCTGCGCAGTGGCCACAGCTAGTTTGTTTTCGTAGAAGGGACTGAACTTTACGGAGTAACCGTTAAATGGAGTTTTGAATACCGGCATCTTAGACGGACGGCGGTCGCCGGTGATTTACTTTCCCGAGTGACCTTTTCTGCTCTGCAATAGTAAAAGGGATTTGTGATAACTAAGGCTCTGTTTGGAAAGCCAGTAATTGGAATTGATATAATCAATAGCATAATAATTACTAATTTGATTTGTTTGTTTGTTACAGTGTAATTACATTATATATATATTGTTTGGATACACAATTGTTTTAGATAAATTAAAAATTCTTTAAAAGATGTTAAATTAAATATTTAGGATATATATTGTCTTTTGAAAATATATTAATTAATAAATATATGTTATTAACTAATATTATAAAAAAAGAAAAAAATTATTTTTCAAATTAGTATATTTCAATTGAATCAATCAAAAAAAAAGTACAAGATTTCTGTGAACATCACGAAGTACATATTTGACAAAAAGATCAATATTATAAATAAAATATCATAAATTATTAAAATATTTGACAAAAAGATAATCTATCAAATCTAACTAAAAAATAAATAACTTGCAATGTGAAGTCTCAAGTCAATATTACTAAAACAAATGGAATTGAAAATATAACATAAGTCCTAAATTCAAAACCAAATATTTAACATAATACTCTTATGTCAAATTTTAATATAACATACATAAATATGATTTAAAAGAAAAGAAAGTGCAAGTCTATAATCTTACTCAACAATATATTCTATTTTAATTTATTTTTTTTAAAAGTGTCATATTTGCACTTATACTTTAAGAAAATTATTATATTTACCTTTCGTCGTACTTTTTTGATATATTTATTTTTATCATCTAACTTTAGGCACATATTTGCCCTTGGGATGGTCAAGTCTCATCTTCCCACTTTTATCCTCTTACTAGGCACCTATGTGGCATGCTTATATATATATATATATTCCACTTAAATTTCCTCCTAATTTAATTATTATATCCAACTTAATAATGTACCCACCCAATTCGTTTTACCTCTTTACCTAATTTTTCTACCCATAAATGTTGTTCACTCAAACACAAATCACCATCGTAGCTCAAAGAGATAAGCTTTAACGAATTATTCTTTAATTTCTAATTGTTTTGTTTGTCTTTTTTTTTTAATTGGGGCTTTTAATTTCTTCTCTCTAATTTCTGATTATTTTTTTTATTAGGATTAGCCATGGAATAGGTACAGTTGAATTTGAATGATATTTGTTATGAAAATGATGATCCAAAGTTGAATGAGGAAGTGTGATGTTTTCATGATTTTTTACTTCCTTTGAAAAAAAATTTGATCCAATAATAATTTGGGTAGAAAATTTTGATCTTTCTCATACCATGGATAAGAAAAATGTAAATATTTTCATTGGAGGGATTGTGTGGTTAATGAACAATCTAAGTTCATCCTTCTAAAGTTGGTGAAGAAAATAAAGGGTGCGAATGAACTATTAGTCGTAAATATATATATATCAAAATATGAAAGAAATCATTGATTACAATGATAGAGAAATTATGAATATGAGGGCTCAATTTATATTTATCATTTAAAAGAACAGTGTATTATAAAGGAGGTGGAATGAGTGTTTGCTTTCAAAGATTGTGAAGAGGTTGTGCTGATGAAAAATGCAACAAAGAAACTGATTCAAGTGAAGAAGAGGGAGTAACTATTATCGCCTTAATAGAATTTTCATGTTGTATCTCTTGATCATGTATGATGTTGTTTGGATCAAAATAGCTAGTTGAAGCATTCCTTGGATTGATGTAAGTTTGACTGTGTTTATGTTTGCTAGTTTGTATGGTTAAAGTCAATGAACTTGATTTTATGTCAAACTTCAGCCCTTCCGTTAAGCTCTTGTGTTTTGTCAACTTTGTTTCCAGTAGTACAAGCATTGTAGGCTTGTGGAGCTTTACCATTGCTTTGCACTGCCGCCTGAAGTTCCTGTTATTCGCCTCCCTCACGTTTCATATGATGAAGTTTAACATTGACGATTGTTGTGGTGCTTGCTCCTATAAACCTTTGGCTTTGTCCATATGAGATACGTGTATGTGTAATCCTATAGGGTTCAGTGCTACAA